CGTTCATGTCTACATAATCACATGCTCTAAGCTGTGTGTGTGTGTGCGTGTGTGTGTGTGTGTGTGCGTGTGTGTGTGTGTGTGTGTGTGTGTGTGTGTGTGTGTGTGGTGTGTGTGTGTAGAGAGAGAGGGAGAGAACATCACACCGGCCATGTACCGGATTGCCAAAATCCCCCAAGCTGCCACTAAAGGTCACAATGTGTGTGTGTGTGTGTGTGTGTGTGTGTGTGTGTGTGTGTGTGTGTGTGTGTGTGTGTGTGTGTGTGTGTGTGCGCGTGTGTGTGTGTGTGTGTGTGTGCGCGTGTGTGTGTGATAGATTTTAATACCAGGGAAAAAAAGACAACAAAAAAATGAAAAGTATTTCGAGGGCTGTTATAATGTGGGATGAAGATCAAGCTGGTGTTTGCCCCAAGTGTACAGGAATATAGAAATCAATCAATCGTTTACTCCTGCTTTCACTTCTTCTTTTTTTGTTTTACGTTGCACTTAAACTGCCAAAAAGTAAACAGGCTCTACCTCTGAAATAAGACAAATCTTTCAGAGAGGTGACACCTACTCTAAATACTTAACAGCCCTGAATGTAATGAAAATACTAAATACATTTTAAAGGCAGAAGGTTAAGGTGACAAAATGATGCATTTACAGACTAAATTTTGGGTATAATGGAAACACTTAACCATGAATTGTATGTGAGACCTTCCTATTCTGGAGTCGTAGAGAGGTGCACTTACAAAAAGAACGCATGAAAATTTAGCGCATGTCAGTTTTAAGTCTTGAAACCTGTCTGGCGTGTTAAATGGGTGTAGTTTATTTTAGGTACTACACATAATGCAACAGAAAGCCACCAATGAGGAGAGCAACTTGCCTTATTCTGTTTAGCTATTAATCTTAAGTAATTTTTTCTATACAACCAATTCTTTGCTTAAAGTGTAAAAAAAAAAGTGTTTTTCCTGAACTAGTGTTCAACTGCATGAAAGCTCAGAATATTCCATTTAAAGTCAAAAGAAAGAGAGCAGCATGTGTTTGTTTCAGAAAAGCTACAAACAAAAAATGTTTCACATATTTGCTTGATACCTGATCGTAATCACATTTTCTCTGTTGATGAACTAATGAATTACAGGAGCAGAGGCTGATACGAGGCTTCAAAGAAGAATATACTGAAATGTTAAAACAAGCCTGACGCTTGATTTTCAAAAAAAACACTCTGTCTCTGATTTGCAGTTGCTTTATAATCCGGGTCTGGAAGAAGCAGCGGGGGCCAAACTAAAAATAATTTCAGGTAATTATTTAAAGGCATAAGCAGACAGGAGAAGCTGAGACTATTTAAAACTCCCCCTCCTCCAGAATGTCATCTTTAATATAGTATTGTGCAGAAAACTCTACACACACCATCAGATCACTGGAAAGCAGGCATTGCTGGATTTCTCTACTTTCCAATTCATGTATACGATTTCAAATATTTGTGTCAGCAGACAAGGTGAGCGGAAGAAAGAGTGAGATCAAGCGTTAGCGATAGAGAGAGAGGGGGGAGGAAGTTGAGCGGTTAGTGGCCTCAAAAACACAGCAGATGTTTGCAGGGGAAGGGGATCTAAAGAAAACAAATTCTAATTCCTGCAGCTGTTTATGTCAACATGGGCACACGGCATTTTCATAAAAAATATATTTTCAAACGACTGCACGCTAATACACTGAGCCTTTACACAGCCATATATTATCCTTATATTACACAGTAATCCAGGCAAATCCTCTGTCAAGCAGCCCCAACGCCGTGTGTAATAGAAGCAATTCTAATAGTAAAGCACGGACACAGATCACATATGAATGAGAGAGAGAGAGTGTGTGTGTGTGTGTGTGTGTGTGTGCGTGCGCGTGTGTGTGTGTGAAGGCACTTCTCATCAATAAAGAATGAAGCAATTAAGATAATCTCAGACTGACGGTGCCCTTTCTACTTTATATCATATCCCTGTTTGAAAACCAACAACTGAACTTCATGGACTCTGCCCTACCACACAAACACACACACACACTCTGAGTAAAACATGTTTGCTCCCTAACCCTTCTGAAACTGAAGAAAATACTCATTATTTATTATTTATTATAATCCTGCTCCCAAATTGACCCTAAACTTCACAGCATAACTCAACCCCCCTTAACAAAAAAAAAAGAAGCTAATTCTAAAATCATGCCCTCTTAAAAAAAACCTCTCTATTTAGTGATTTTTGTTTGCAGGACATTAAATTGAGAATCTGCTCATAAGATATGTATTGGGGGATACAGTTCAATATGTTGTGATACTATAAGCAGGGCAATATATTCATTGTTTTTCTCTCAAATAGTTTATTTAACACACCAGCAGCAGAGAAAATAAAAAATCTTTTTAATGGGTTTTATTTTTTAGAAATGAAGGTTGTCGTGATACCAGATTTTAAACTCTTGTGAGATTCTTCTCAAATGATATTGATATCTGTTTCAATACCACACAAACTACTGCACACTGTCTAAGTTAGACAGCGCTTATTCAGTCTGGCTCTGTTAAAAATGCAACTGTTTTTTTTACAGCTCCTATTCTATTCAATACTGTTGATTACTAAAATAACAGAAATTGTATCATTTTAAAACATATGGTGTAATTATCAAAAATGTTAAGAACATAATTGGTAAGTTCATTATTTAATGGGTTAATTAGTGTTTGTAGTGTTCAGTCACTAGACAAAAGGTCCTGCATAGTTTGCCAATAATTCAGAGTGTGACATGTCTTTTTGTTGTCTTTCATTCTTAACGTCTGTAAAGGACTGAGTTATTACCAGAAACTTTAAATAGAATTGTACATCACTTTCTAATTCTTCCCATATGCTTGTACATCTGATTCGGATCTTCTACCACAGGTGACAAAATCAGGACTTAAGGAGACTTAAGACTTAAGTCGACAAACTCTCAAAAGCCAATCCAGATCCTGTGTATTTTTGACTCTGACTTGGCAAAAGAAAACTCACCTACTTCAAAGGTTTTTATATTATATAATGGTAGAGGAAGAGCTCCCCAGCAAGCGAAATATCACACTGCCCCACTCTCAGGGTCTAATAATGACCTCACTAAACCTGTTTGGCAATCCCCCAAACCTTTGCTAAGCACACAGAAACCACCTCCTGCAAACTGACTGAACACACAATTTGAAACACAACCTGACTGTCAAACACAACCACTGTTCAACGTCATGTTTCCTCACTGGGAACACAATATTTCACTGCTAATGGCGAGGTCAGCACTCTGAAGGAGGAACCCAATAGTTGATACGTTTGTGATACCAAAGCTCTTGTATCCTCCTTGATCCCAGTTTCCAAACCCAATTACAAGCCTGGTGAATGGTTGTTTTTTGGCTTACACCAGTTGAGTCTACACCAGCTGGAACATTAGACTTCCTGTCACCTTTAGGTGAGTAAACAACTCTCTCAATAATGTCTACTTCACCACATCCAGACTTAAACTATACTACTTCTACTAAAGTACAGATCCACAAAACTTATGGGTGGGCTTAATGGAGCCATGTGCTTTGTGAGTGTTTATGGAAATACTGTCTGACTCTGAAGCTGAAGACAAGATGTACTTATGCAGCTTAAAAAGGCCGACTGCAGGTTAGAAATTCTGGGACTAAGGACACTTAAGGCTAAGCGGACAAACCCACCTAAGCTCGTACGGATGGTCTCCCATGCCTTTCGTTTTCTGTCTCTGCTTCTCTTTTCTCTCTCTTTCTCTCATTACCCCTCTCTCTCTTTCTCTACTATTTCCCTCCTCTTGCCCTTTCCAGAAGGTCCTTCCCTAAACCCCAGAGAGAGGGGGAGGAGCCTGGGATGGTGAGGACGTGCTGGTAATCCGTGCAGTGACCCAGGTCAATTCAATTATCCTGTTTTCTTTCGCTGTGCGACGCGTGTGCCCATTTCACAGCCAACTCCCTTAATGCACCCAGGATTAGCTTCTCTTACTTTTAATGATCTACCTATCGACGCCTTGGGCCCGTGTGCACACACACAACACACACACACACACAACACACACACACACACACCACACACAACCACACACACACACACACAGAGTGCTAAGTGTTTTCTAGATTACTTTTTAGTGTAAAGGAATTCACTAAACTATTCTGCAGGGCTGAGGATCAAGAGACACTTTCTCTGAACAAGTACTGAAGAGTTTGTATTTTCTTGTTTATGTAGGAGTTTGTGGTACAAACTGTGAAGTAATATGAGGATTGTATTATCCATTTACGAAGGCATCACCTCACACCTCCAAGATTTGAGATAATCATCTTAGGCCTCACACGTTAGTGTAGAAGCTCGCTAATCTCAACCCCGGAGGTGAAAACTAGGTCAGTTTAAAACGGTGAACTGTGCGGATGGCTGACATGCATTAAAATATCCACGCAGATATTCAAAGTTATTTGTGCTCATGTCCTCTGAAGCATCTCACGCGTACAGAAGTTGAACTTGAGTTCACAAGAGTCAACAAAGAGTTGTTTTTTTAAGCACAGATAAACTAGATTGTACTGTCATTGAATGATGAGACCATAGTCTCACCTAATATCTAATCTAATCTAATCTTATTATCTCACCAGTCATTCGCTAATGACTAGACAAGATAACTCTCTAAGTAGGTCCCAGTCTTATGAAACAACAGCAACTCCAGGAAACTCTAAAGCCTTAAAGTCATCAAATCAGCCCTGTGGACTGCCCTCCCATATAGAAGTGTAGGTCTGATTCTTATTGGCCCGTGTCCAGCCTGCCAACCTAAGAGCCTGTCCAAGTTAAATCCACCTGTTGTTTTGCCGCTAAACTCATTATCAAACCCACAAATCCACTATCGAAATAGGACTTAAATCTTGAAAACACACGGATTGCTTTCCCCATTGCCAAGTGATGACCCAATTCTGCAGTCAGTTTTGCATGTTGCAAAGAACGTAGATAGTTCAATTAATGAAGCAGGAGTGTCTGCCTTACCTGTGATTTCCTGCCCGTTGTAGTTCCATCCAGCCACAGCCAGCATGGAGGGCAAAGGTGAGCCAGGCCTACTGTCCCGCTCTCTCTCCCTGTCCCGCTCTCTGTCCCAGTTCCTCTCAGACTGCTGGGTAATATGTCTGACCGTGTCCTTGTTCTTTCGGTTCTTCCTCCGACCTGAGCCTGACAGTGGTTGCCAGGACCCATCTACTCCTCCTCCAGCAGCCCCTCCAGCACCTTGCTCCCCCTGGCTCTGTGCTGCCCCCCTGGGAGTGTCCCTGGGATGGGAAGAAGAGGCAGGGGACACCTGTTCCTCTTTGACGGTGACCGGTCTGTAGTCGTGCGGCCAGGCGGGCTGGGAGTCATGGCAGGCTTCCTCCTGGCTCTCGTGGCTCTTGGGGGGCTCTTGGTCCTCCTTGCCGTACGTGCTACCTCCCTCGTGGCAGCTGGCGATGGCCGAGTCCCCGGAGGAGTTGGCTGGGCTGGTGCGACGAGCCAGCCAAGGAGAGGTGCTGCGACCGGACATGATGGAGGCCAGAGCTTCGGACGCCATTCCCACTATCCCACCTCCTACTCCTAAACCTGCCCCCACAACCCCTCCAGCTCCTGCTAAAACCGGACCCCCTGCACTTCCTCCACCTCCACCTATACTGGCCGCGGCAACAGCTCCCATCTCAAAGTCGGCCAGTTCGTCCGCCATCTCGGAGCGGATGCTGATGTCCAACGCAGCCTTGATGAAGCTGTGGCACGCCTGGACGATGTCGGTCATCTGCAGGTAGCTAGCGGCTGACATCACCTCAATTACGTTCTTACTGGTGAGGGCGAGGTGTGCCGAGTACATAAAGTCCAGGATCGCTTTGAAGCCTGTTGCTGTGACGATGTCGAGGTGAGTGACAGTAGTCTGGTGGTGAGGCTCTGAACCTTTTTTTACCTGAAGAGTGAGAAGAAGCGCTCAATTTCTTTTTTTTTTTTTTTTTTTGTTTTGTTTATGACATTTGACATTTTTTTACTTGTAGGAAAACAATGAAAGCAAACTATAATGACCAGAGAGAAAAACCAAAGACCCTTCTTTCCCAAGTGTATCAGCCCCTTACCTGGCAGTAAAGAGTCTTGAAGTAGCGCGAGGAGCCCAGGAGGACATTCTTATGGGCTTTGAAGATCTTTCCGTCCACAATGACACAGGCGTCGCAGAGGATGCCGTGCTGCCTCTGCTCGTTGAGCTCTCTGAGGAGCTGACGATAGTGAGAGGAGATCTCCATGTCCTCCTTCCTGTTGTTCATCTGTGTAGCTGAACAAAAGCCTCTCCTCCAAACGTCTGCTGGGAAACGAGGAAAGACACAGAAGAAAAATATTTGAAACGCAGCAAAATATAAAGGATTAAGGAGACAGTATGTTGTGCTGTTAATTTTACAGTATAGAAATTTGACTGTCCAGTAGGGCTGAACAAATAAGTGCACTGTCAACGCTATTGCAATATGAGTATTTGGAATAAATGCATCGCAAAAGTCAGTAATCAAGTAAAGTTTTTTTTTTGTCTTTTGCCTTTATTTGAATAGGAGTTTTAAAAATGACATTTAGGAAAGGAGCTGCAGGTTGGATTTCAACCCCGGGACGTAACTACTTGGCCATCATCACCCAATAAATAAGATGTTTTTAATATGATAAAAGATTTTAAATTGAGGCTTGAGTATTATGAAGTTAAGGCTAGATATAAAGCTTTACCTCAGAATAAAAAAAGAACTGCCACTTATATTTATTTTGGATTCAGGAGAAACATGTTGTTAAAATAGGTATAGTGTATAAAACATAAAGCGAGGGACGAAAGACTGTGAGTTAAAGCTCGTTATTGCCATCTTAAACAACATCACAGCACATCGTGTATTTTTCTCATATTGTGCAGGAATACAATCCAGCAGCATCATTTCACAGCACTAAAGTGATCAAATCCAAGCCATTTTCGTACATTTCAAGAACAAAAGGTGTGAAGGCAACATGTTCAGGTATTTCTCCTCTAAGTCCAAATATATGAGGTTGATAGCTTTGGCTAAATTCAAACCCTTTCCACAGAATGATGGTTTCATTTTCATCTGGGGGGGGGGGGGGGGAATAAGCAAATTTAGCCGTACCACTCCTTTAAAGATGAGCCAAGGTAAGGATATCTCAGTAATGACTGTGACATAAAAACAATGACATCAATAGAAACCACATCTCAACTGCTGTAGTTTGATGTCTAAAAACAGCCCAGTTACAAATAGTCAAAAATCTCTGCTTAAACCGTGTCTGACAGGTTCATTTGTGTGTATGTGTGTGAGAGAGAGAGTGTGTGTTTTAAAGCTCATTAAAAATGTCAGTTAAAAAGCGGAACACTGTCACAAAATAGTGAGAGGGAGAAAAAAAAACACCTCATTTAGTACAAACTACTTTACCATTAAATTTATCAATAAACACGTCTTCATTTCCTTTGTTAGTTTTTTCACATCCCCCCTGCGACCGCAAATATTCAATCAACTGTCTAGTTGAGACGAAAACTCACTCTTGAACCTTGACCTCAGTGTTTCTGATCTTCCACGGTTCAGTCTAGGTTGTGAGCATAAAGTTTTTCTGAAAAACTACAGAGAAAAGACCCTTAATGACAATTTGTGGAGCTGCTCAGCTGTCAGTGAATGAGGTTTCAGCTTTTCAGTATTAATTGACAGGATTCACGGCTGCTCGACAGGGATACAAGCATACTTTATAATGTGTCTTTAATGTAAAAGTTTACATTATATTAACCCAAAACTCAACTTCTACATTTTGATTTTACAAATATTGATCCAAGGTGTTCTGCTCTATCGTATCTTCTTTGTTTTCAATTAAATACAAGAGGCATTTTGATCACTCACACATTCAGGGAAGACCACAGACAGAGAGGAAAGCAGGAGACAAAGGAGTATGTGCGCATCAAGATGTTGAACCATTCAACGAGGTGTCTTCAAAAAGAGTAACAAAAACAGGAAAAACACACACACACACACACACACAGCCAGGCAGTGCATTAGCTGGAGCATTAGCAGCCGCCGCTCCCGCTCTTGTCTTGGTGAGGGCTAAATCGCCAGGACGCAGAGTGTTACCAAACGCAGCAGTGATTTGTTTTGGGAACGCCACAGCTGTCAGCTCTCGTGGGCCATCCTGAGAGATGACAGCTCGGGTTGGCCGAGGTGACAGCAGCGTTTGCTCGGGGGCCGGCACACTTCAGGTCATGTTTAGCAAAGCTCTGCTCAACCTGATGGCTTGTAAGATCAGATAAATCCCCAGTGTCTCCCACGTCCACTCGAACAAACACACCTCCTATGAACAGAGGTGGACGGGCAGATGGAGTGATGGTGACAGCCTCTCTTTCTTGGGCTGATCAATGCCTGGCTCACAATCTTTCACTCTGACTTATGTTTCTGTAAGTCAGACAAAGACAGAATGGTGAGGAGGAATGAAACTTGGAAATGAATGGAGAATAACAGTGAGCCTCAGAGGCTCACAAAGCAACTTTTGACGACACTGTTTTTATCCTCCGGCTCACACACTTCTTAGAAAAATCTAATGGCGTTCTAACCTTGAAATATTCTTTCTTTTCTGCAGTGCCCTGATGGAAGCATGGAGAGTCTTCACCTCTCACCTTAGCAGACAAACTGAACGGCTATAAAGACACAGCAGCTCCCCCTCTCCTTCTCCTCCTCCTCCCTCTTCTTCTCTCAGGGACACTCAGACATTCAGCTGTATAGAGCCATCTATAAGTAAGAATGCTGCGCAGAGCCACATGCAACACAGAAGAAGGCATTTATCCACAGAGAAGCACCTCAATACACTGCTTTTTCTGCGTCATATCCCTTCAATGGACGATGATCTACAAGGTCATTGTGCAAGACAAAACACATTTCTATTGGTTCCTCTCAGGGTGCAGTGGAAAGAAAAGCAACTTTACCAATTCCACAGCTGGAATAAGAGAGAAGCAGGGTCCTCCACATCTTAACTGTAATGTCCCTCACCATTTCTAAAGTCCAAATAATTAAAGAACATCAACGGCAAGCACTTCCGGAGACAAGGATAGCCACAGCCACTCTGCTTAGCACAACACAGGTACAATTATAGAGTATGTTCACTCAAATTGTCTATTAGGTATCTGCATGAACTTTGATAAATAAGAGGTGAGTGTGATTTACTTTGGTTGGTCAAGTCAATGAAAACATATTTTGAAAAATGAAAGAGCTGCACCTCTAATCAGGAGAAGCACATAAACTTTTTTGGCTAAAAAGTAGATCCAAACTAAATGCTATTGACCTGTATTGTATCCTGTTGGAGGTTAAAATGTGAATGAATGAAACTAAAATTGTCTGCGAGGCAGGATAGCACTTGAGGTCAGGTTAGTCAGAAAAACATTATTCCATTAATTTATTTTTTTGTATTCACTGAAGCACAAACCTTGAAAATGTTGGTGATTTTAAAAGATCTACTTAGCAACCCAGTGAGTGTGGGTAGAGTAACATGCACTGTGGTAAAGCATGTCCAAAGAGCTACTTTTAATGGCAGTGCGGTGCTGCACTCGTGACACAGGACGCCATGTTTCCAAGGGACATTTTCGGCAAATGCTCGAGAGTAAGTTTGTGTGTATGTGCGGCCAGCATGTTACCCAAAGTCGTGTTAAATGGTGCCTCAAATTTAACAAAAACAATGATCAGTGAAGGGGAAAACAACGGCGACGGACTGAAAGAGAGAGAGAGAGGGAGAAGTCTAATCAGATTTATTGCTTCAATAGACTCGGAGACAGACTGAGTTAGTATATCGGTCGAGAAGAGGAACTTTAATGGAGAGCGCTTTGACCTCTAAACTCTCTGCTCGCCTAATTGGCTTGTTTAATTTCAGCATGTCCAAATCCCTCCAGTCAAAGACCCCTTTTCTCCAGTGGAGCCAATCCAAACGTACCCCCCTAACAGCATATAAACACCCACAAAAACCTCTTCAGTGTTCATTCTAGCTTTTCATTTCCTCAGAGAGCTACTCCATCTCTAGACCATCAACAGGACCAAAATCTCGCTATAACTGTGAGGGAACGGCCTTGATTTATAGTGCAGTTTTTTTTCCAAATATACACTTGACACAAGATGGGAAAGTACGATTAAATGAACTTGTCAGACAATCAAGTGAAAAGAGAGAGGCAGAGACTTTTGTGTGTCATCCAAAGCATTAGCAGTCTCACCAAGGCTACAGAAACTAAAGCTTGCTTTCAGGATGTCACCGAGCAGAAAAAAGCTTTTCATCCCTCAATGAAAAATTCACAGAAAAAAAATAAAAGCACGGGAAAAAGTCGTCGGGGGGCAGGCTGACAGACTGTGATCGCTTATATGTGGTCAGAGAGGATTGTTTCAGTAAAGCATGCCACCAGAGCTCCAAGTCCCTGTCACCCTTCTGAGCCCAAATCTAAAGTGAATGTCCTCCATAACGCCCCCCTCCACACACATTTATTCAGCCCCCTGCCCCTAAATACACAAACACACGCGAGAACTAAAAACACACACGTTCACACACTTAGCAGAGCCGTCATGGCGTCACAGCTGGTTTGTCCTGGTCACATCAAAGCAAAGTCACTTTAGGCCCCAGCCAGACGACTAAAGAGATGAGACGTGTGATGGAGTGAGAGAATGGGGCTTCCTCCTTCTTGTGTTTCTCCTAATGCAGCCTGTCCCTCCGAGCCACTTCTCTGCCTCCTTGACCACACAGGACCGTGGGGAGACAGAGCGCAAGGTCCTTCTGGATCAAAGACAGCGCCACACTTTATGTTCTATGGAGGTTTAATAGAGAGAGCTTTCGCAGAGCGCTAATGCTAAACTCAGACATCATGCAGAGTACACTACATATTTTGGGGAATAGAACCATCTCAACCACATTTGATCTATAAAACCTGTCAACCCTGCAGGTATTAGCTGCAGGTAAGGGACTTAGAGTTGGTCAGGGTAAATTATCGTGTGCTGCTTGCAAAATTGCCACCCTCAGCTAATCGCTCTTCATTCAAATTGTGGCCCTCTGCTTAACAAATGTAACAGTCCAGCTCATTATTTGATAAAGTGACTTTGGTTGGATGAGCGTGACAAACTGAGTGAACACAGAGCCACTGATGTGGGTAGTTAATTAAATAAATATATGAATGAAATCCATTTAAAAAAAAAACAAGGAGAAAAAAACGGATTAAAATGGTTTCTGCTCATACTCATTTTCAATGGCCAATACCAATGCACACGTGTTTTTGTGAAAAATCTAAGATTACTGAGCCCTTGGCAGCCCCTAGTTAGG